TAGGTGAGTAAATTAGGTGATTTAGTTAAATAAAAAATGGAAAGGTTAGTAATTTTTAATAATGTTTTTTTTTAGTACTTGAATTTAAAAATTGGAACATTGTATTCAATAAAAAGTTTTTAAATGGTCGTAAATCAAACCTGCGCCACTAAATAACTACTCGCTCGCTGCGAAAAACTTGAAAAACTTCAAACTTATATTTATTTTTTTTTAATGCGGTGCAATAATTCCCTTTTGAGAATTGCATCGGGACTGCAAATGTGGGATGTATCCTCCTGACATTCATCTTCACAATCTAGCATCGTTGTTGAAACACCGTTGTTTTCCAAAGATTTCTTCATTCTCATTCTTTTGGTTATTTCTGAATGTGGAGAACCAGTAACATCAACAGCGTTTTTCGATTTTCGTTTTTGTAATTCATTTTTGATCCTTTCTTCTGTGACTGGCCAGATATACGTCTTATCATTGCACTTACATAATATTCCAGGGACCGAAAATAACAGTTATTTTCTTTACGAGATAAACTTGGCCTGATATTTTTTATTCCGAAAGTTTTTTCTGGATAATAAACAAACAGCTTATCAAAATTAAACAAATTTGGTATCACGTGAAAGAGGACTGAAGTAGCTTTTAAACAGAATGAACGATCGAAGGTTACCACCTCTATTTATATATTTTTCTATATCATTTAATACTAAAGAAATTCATATACCTGACCCAACGTTTGTTCTATGATAATTAATTAACATTTTTTATTGAAATATTTTTCAATAGGTGACTTTGCTCGTTTGGATATTTCAGTTTTAAAGCTATTTAAGTCCTCTTTCATTTGATACCAAACTTGTTTAATGTTGTTGTTGTTGTTGTTGTAGCGGCTACAACAACCCCGCCCAGATCGGTTGGTATCTCAGTCGTTGTCGTCAAGTTCCACTAACGGCAACCCTAGGAAGCCTGCAGCTTCTGTGGGATCTGTCCACAGGGACAAGGCCGTTAGGGTTGTCGGGTTTTCCGGGCATGCGAAGAGATGGTTCGAGTCATGTGGGGTCTCTCCGCATGCCGGACATTCGTTCGGCACATCCTCATTCAGCCTACTCAAGTAGGAGTTTAACCTGCTGCAGTAGCCGGAGCGAAGTTGAGCGAGTGTAGTGCGTGTCTCCCGAGGCAGATGAAGCTCTGTCTCGTCGATGTCCGGGGGTGGTATGCCTAGAACGGCATTCACAGGTCTAGAGTCTACACAACTCGAGACTGAGTCCCTGTGAATGCCGTTCAGGGCCTGTCTGTACGCTGTCGGGTCCAGAGGTTGTTTAATGAACCTCTGGACTTCGTCCGTCAGTTCATATAGATGCCTCCTGACGTGCCTAGGCGAGGGCTCCTCTGCAAGCAGCTGTCTCTTTGGGTGGCCACTTCTGTGGCTCCCGATCAGGAACTGCTTGCAGAGCATTATGTTGTGCTCCTTAACTGGGAGCATTTGCGCCTCGCCGTGCAAGTGGTGTTCTGGCGACATCAGGCATCCCGTCGCTGTCCTCAGTGCCGTATTTTGTACCGTCTGTAGCTTCGTCCACTGCGTCCTACTAGTCCCTGGCGACCACACTGGCGCTGCGTTGTTCAAAACCGGCCGGCCTATTGCCTTGTATGTTGCCAGCAACGTTTCTTTGTCTTTGCCCCAAGTACTGCCCGCTAGCGACTTGAGGACCTTGTTGCGGCTCTGTACTTTATTGACAATAGCGGTTGAGTGCGCAGAGAAGGAGAGCAGGCTGTCGAATTTTACTCCGAGTATTTTGGGGTTGTTCACCGTCGGAATTGGTGTGTCATCGACGTGAATCCCCAGCGGTAGCCTGACCTCCTTCGTCCAGGTTGTGAACAGGGTCGCGGAGGATTTCGTAGGGGAGAGGGCTAGACACTTTGCAGTGAAGAAGCGAGAAAGTTCGGAGAGATAGCCGTTTACTTTCAAACACAGGTCATCAATTCCATTCCCAGTCGCCATGATCGAGCAGTCGTCGGCATAGGAGACAATCGAGACTCCCTCTGGTGGTTGAGGGAGCTTTGAAATATAAAAGTTAAACAGTAGCGGGGAAAGGACACCACCCTGAGGAGCCCCCTGTTTTATTTTTCGCTGCTTACTCGTTTTGTCTCTAAATGTTACCGACGAATGTCGACCACTCAGATAATTTGCCGACCACCGTTTGAGCCTCTGTGGGAGAGAGGAGGCCTCTATATCTTCCAGCAGCGTGGAATGGCAGACGGTGTCAAACGCCTTTGACAAGTCCAACGCTACTAGAATCGTTCTCTCACAGGGACGGTTGCGGTTAAGGCCACGAGTTATCTGAGTGTTTATGGCGTTAAGTGCTGTTGTTGTACTGTGCACTTTACGGAAACCATGCTGATGCTTCGCTGGGGTCAGGTGGTTTGTGAAGTACGGGAGTAGCAAGGCCTCGAGTGTCTTCGCTACCGGGGAAAGGAGTGTAATCGGACGATACGAATCTCCTTTGTTGGCGGGTTTCCCCGGTTTGAGCAGTGGGACCACTCTCCCCACCTTCCAGATGTCTGGGATGATGAGAGTGGCCATTGACAGGTTGAGGACCTCCGTTAGGTACGCTACCCCCCCGCAGGACCCAAATTTTTCAGCATCAGCATGCATATTCCGTCGGGACCCATGGCTTTGGAGGCTTTCGCCTTCCCGATGGCCACCTGAACTTCACCGCAAGTGAAAGCAAGGGGGGCACAATTTGTTGGCAGTTTGTGCAGCCTTCTGGTCACTCGACGCTTGGCTTTGTCTACCGGAGGATGCAGTATGAACTGCCGGCTAAAATAGCTCGCGCATCGCTCCGGGTCCGACGAAGCATGGTCGCCGAAGGAAATTTCGACTCTGTCGTCGTGCTTCGTCGGATTAGACAATGACCTCTCGGTTGACCAAAGCTTGCTCACACCAGAGGTGAAATTACAAGTCTTCAGGTGCTCCTCCCACTTCTTCCGCTTATGTACGTTTACAAGTTGCCGAATCTCCGCGTTGAGATCCCTGATACGGGGATCTCCGGGATCGGCCTGACGAAGGCTATCACGCTCATCAGCTAGAACAGCCGCTTCGGCAGGGAAGTTTGGACGTGGGTCCGATATACATCCTGCCGGTATGAAGCGAGCTGCAGCAGCAGTGATAGCCCTGCGGAACTTACGTTCACCGAGATGGACGTCGGTTGGTGTGGGGAGCGCTGCGAAGGTGTTTTCAGTAAACTCCGCGTAACCTTTCCAATCAGCTTTGGAAAAGTTGATATAGGTCCGGTGTTTGGCGGAGGCAAAGTCGGTTGGTTTATCAATCGAGATGACTATGGGTAGATGGTCTGATGCTAGAGTCAGCATAGGTCGCCACGTTATGCTGTTTATCAGACCAGCGCTGACTATTGTGATGTCTGGCGAGCTACTGCAGTTACCCATAATCCTGGTGGGTGCGTCGTCGTTCATTGTGCAGAATGTCGAATCGTCTATCTGCTCAGCCAAGTCTGTTCCCCTACGATCGTTTGACAGGCTTGAGTGCCAAAGATCGTGGTGCGCATTAAAGTCACCTACTACCATACGGTTTTCACCTCTGAGGAGCGCACCTATATCAGGGTGATATCCTGCCGGGCAGCAGGTGACAGGGGGTATGTAAATGTTAAATATTTCGAGCTCGACATAGCCTGACCGGATAGCGATGCCCTGACATTCTAGGGTGGTATCCTTGCGGTCGATGTCTGCTTCGATAAGACGATACTGCACGATGTGGTGCGTGATGAACGCTAAGCCACCACCATTATCTCGCTCGCGATCTCGACGGTGCACGTTGTACCCGGCGCAATTCAACAAAGTTGAATTGCTGTGCAGCTTCGTCTCTTGGACCGCAGCTATTAATATTAATCTTGTTTAATTTAGATAGGCGGTTTGTTTATTGTCCGGAAAGGACTTTTAGTTGGGAATAAAAAATATTTGGCCAAGTTTAACTCGTAAAGAAAGTAACTGTTATTTACGGTCCCTTCAATATTCGCATTCGCAAAAGATCCGCATTGATTATTGCGAATGCGAAAGCGAATGCGAGTGTTAAAATAAATGCGGAAGCTCTGCGGTTGCGAATGCGAATGCGAATATTCGCAGCAACCCTGCTAAGTACCTATGTATGTACATAATTAGGCTAGGTACATCGATACCATGTGGTGAGCATACAAAACTAACCTTATTTGACAATGTCATAGTAGTTCTACTTTTTATTACTTTTCTTTGTTGGCACTCACTCTCCAGCGAGTAATTTGGACTACCTAAAGTTATTAGTAGCTGAGAGATTAACTTAACTTCAATTTGCAAACCCTTAATTTTTGTTTTTTGTGTTTTTGTGTTCATGCGCATTACAGTTGCGGTCATATAATTAGTACCCTTTCGAAGAACAAATTCTTTTTTGGTTTTTTTCTGGAATTAAAATATTTTTTTTTTCATATACATATTTACATATATGCATATATAGTACACATATGCATGTAAGCACTACGCACACAGCAAGGAAGGCCTTCTTCGCTTCGTGGGACTACGTTGCCGACAAGAGAAAAATGTAAGTGAAGTTTAGCCTTTCTTTTTTAATATTCAAGCCATTACTTTTTATAAGATAGTGAGTAAGCATATATTTATATATACATATATACATATATATACAGGTGTATGTACGTGTGAGTTGGTTAAGCTTGTTCGGTTCTAACTTTTCTGGAGGATCTGTATGTACATATGTATCAATACCAAAGGGTATATGAGTTAGTTCTCCTTTTGGTTTTAAATTTTGTTGTAAATATAAATATTTATATGAACCTGCAAATAAGCAGACATACTTACACGTGTACACTTGTGAGTTTATTTTTATTTTTATTTTGCTTTGTATTTA